ACCTACCTACCTACCTACCTACCTACCTACCTACCTACCTAACTAATCTAAGCCGCTCTGCCTCCATTACTGCCTTCATGAACAAACTGAATTACCATACTCTTTTGCTTAGACCCTCCTAAGTTAACCTGCCTTCACTTTTCTTCAATGCATGAATCTCCACATATTCTTGCCTTGTGACAGACTAACCTCACAGCCTATGACATCATGGGAAGTTTGGCCCATCGCTCTGTTCGAACCTCTCTTATAGTGGAAAAACCATCTAAGCTGAGCTCTGGTGATGCAAGTACAGCCGGGTAGGGCCAAGTAGATACCAATGGAAAGGTCACATTAGAGTTACCAATTAACCCAACAGGCATGTTGGATGACAGATGGAAGCCGGAGTCCCCAGAGAGAACCCATTTATACACAGGGAAAACATGCCAATCCCAGATAAAAAGGCCTGAGTTGTAGTCAAACCAGTAAGGGGATAACCACCAAACCAGCCTACAGGAGAAAATGTATTTTCATACCTGCAAACTTCAACAGCATAGCCAAGGTGCAGAGGATCCATGGTTCCTTTTCCGTCCTCAAAGTGGCTGACGTTGAAGTAGGAGAGTGTGTGGTTTACAAATCCATGCATGGAGCCATCAGGGCTGTACATGTACTGGTAGACCATTCGTGGGATAAAGTCTGAGGTAAAGGAGATGACGAATGCCTGAAAGAGGAATTGGAGGTTCAGATATTGGAGGACAAAATGGGCATTATATGTATTTAAACATATTTGTGGATAAAGAAAATGAGGTAAGGAATGTTAAGAAAAATGATAAAAACAACCTAAAATTAAATTATTATCATTAGTAATATGCATTTATTCTTTGAGTTCTTTATATCCTTTAACTTTAGTTTCAGCAGCTTGTCAACACAACAGTTTGGCTGCACTTTTTCTTTCTTCTCAGGCTTTTCAGTAGTGAAATGACTTGCTCTTTCCAAGCCATGTCGTCTACTTTTGGAGAAAATGAGGCCTATTCATGAATTGATTGGCACAGCATGCAAGCGGCTACATTCTTAATGTGAGACAGCGCCCATGCCCTCATGAGGCCCAGTTCCAACATCAGCTTAGCTTGTGTTTTTAATGATATACAGGATCAAATCAGTTGGACCAGATATATTTATCCCCCTTCAGTACGGATACACTTTCACATTTGGACTTTGCCAGAGTTTCTCTTGAGCAAATACTTAAAATCTTCTATTATCAACCCAGTGAACACAATGATTCAAAATGAATTTGTCAAAGCATTTTAAAGAGATTTTATACTACATATGAAACTATTTATGAATATTTGTACATATTATTTTATGCATGATTACTTACATTAATGATGACTGCCACTTTTGCTACCCCTCGTAATATGTTGTACCATATTCCTGTAAATGTAAATATAGATATATGAATTTGTTGTATCAGGAGGAATTTGTGCCAGCATTTAAAAATAAAATGTAGATAAAAATATGATACATGTCATGTACCACTTACAAGAACTTGAAACAAAACTGACCAATGTCTTTAGCTCTTGCAGCCACTGGTCTTCGCAGCTCTGTCACAAATTTCTTGGCGTCGAGTCGTATTTCAATGATGTTGTTCAGCAAAGCAAAGAGAGGAGCCAATGGAAAGGATGCCACGAACAATGTGACAAAACCAAACTGGATTACTGGGGAAAAAAGAAAAAGGTCTAAATTCATGAACCAACACATCAAATGCCATTGCAGTAAATATAATAATAATGATAATTATTCATACAATGCCACAAGTCGATGATATGGAAAAGCAAAGGTGTCACAGTGTTTCATAACAGTAGAGAATGGGATTTCATAGCTATCAATTTGTTTTAATGACATCATATCAGACTATTCAGAAGTCTTACTTAGGCTATGGTGTATCTATTCACTTACATTACTGTCCACAGTCTATTACACAAGAAATCCAGGTGTTGCCAGGTAATTAAAAACAAAAAACAAAACAAGTATTCATGGTCATTTCTGGAGTTTTCTACTGTGTCCCTCTTTGCCTTAGTACAACCTTTTAACAGTTTTAGTTCCTCCACCACAGGAAACAAATAGATAAATATATTTTATGCTAACGTCAAACATGCAAACCGTTAGTCCGCCATGCTTTCACTGGAAAAGTTAAGCCCAGATCTGCTTCTACACACCTGGCACTGAACACCCACTTTGGAGGAGTAGCCTATTAGATAATGGATCTTTAACAACTATGAAGCAGAGCTTCAACATGGAGAGGTTGTGTTTCAGGCCTGAATGTGAGACAGATTACGTCCATTTCTTTGTGGGGAGTGTTAAACCAACAATGATTTTAGTTTATTTTTCATTCAACTTTATCAGTTTGGAATCAGAAGTACACCTGTAATGTGTATTTTGCCGTGACTTTATGTGCAATATTTATAAGATACTCCTATTACATGATCTGAAATCATAAAAAAATTAATAATTCAAATAAATAAATAAATAAAAAATAAAATAAAATAAAAAAAAACCTTGAAACTAAACCGAAAATGAATCCAGAACTATTCTAAAATATGTTTAATGGGATGAAATCACTCAGCTACATGATGTTATGGACTGAATAATGAAGAAGCTCAGATATGAGCTCATTCTTTATCTCACCTTAGACGTATCTGAATGTGATTAATGCAGTTTTAAGCTTTGCATCCGGCATAAAACATTATAGTCACTGAACAAAACCAGATCCAAACCCATTAGTTAGACTTGTCTCTGGCTGTACGTGTGAGAGTGGTACTGTGGTACTGACTCATTTCCATATATTCCGGTGTTAGTCCAGCAAAAGGTTCCAGGAAATGGTCGGTCTCATATCTCTGGAACCTCTTTTGTCGCTCCTCTTCTTGAAACGTTCCGTGTTCGGACCGAATATAACGAATCAGCTTCTTCAGCTTACTGAGGAACACACACACACACACACACACACACACACACACACACAGACACACAAGCAGTTACATGGACATTAGGAACAATCGGTGTGTTTGGCAGCCAACAGACTTTAGTCAAACAAGTCAGAAAAACACTTTTCTGGTATTATCGGAAGAGAAAATGGTAACATAGATATTTTCTCCTTCTTTAGATTGATAAAAAACAAACAGTTCTCTGCTTTTATTTGACTCAAACCTGAAACTCCAGCAAAAACTTCAATCTGGAAATGCGATTTCTGTTTTGACTGACATCTTTATGATATATATTTCATTTTGCAGTTGCCTAAAACATCACGTTTGGCTCCAGACTCGATATAAGAGGTGAACTGCTTTGTTTTTACTGAGTGTTACTCACGGTATTCCGATCTCAAACAGGTTGTTCTGAATGAGCTGCTTCCCCAACATGGTGATGCTCAGCTGGATGCACAGCTCCATCAGGCAGCCCCCGTGAGCACACTGTGCACAAGTCTCAGTTAGAAATCACCAAAGTGACACAATCATATGCAAAGATTTTGAGATTCATGAGGAAAACTACCTAAAATAAAAAGAAGTCTAAAAAAGCTGTTTAAACAGGATGTTGAGCTAAAGCTGAAACAGCTGAAATCTGCCTTTGTCCATTTTGAAGTGAATGCTAAATAAGAGTTAATGTTCATCCAGATGGAATTTCTTGGTATTTTAGTGCTAAATTGGGGAACCCTGGACTTTTTTGTTTTAACCCTATAATGCCAAATGTGTCATATTTGATACGCACAGTTTCTGAAGTCTTTTGGATCTGAGACTTTCTGCATCATTCAGTGGTAAAAGCTTTGCTCAAACCCCTGTTGTACACATTCAGATATACCTGATAACAGCCAGTAGAAGACTACACCAAAATACATTTTTGACTTATTGCACGCTAACTTGATCAAAATAATTTCAGTTTTTTTTTCTTTTTATGTGGTTGAGGGGCCAAAGAAAGACTTCAGACTAAAAAAAATCCAATATTCTTCCTATTTTTATTGGATCAGGCTTTAAAAGGTTAACCAGAAAGTGTCCTTTCAGTCACATATAAAAGCGGCTTTCTGTTTCAAATGAGACGTTTCTGAATTTAAGAAAAAATATGGAATGCTTATTAATGTGAACTAAGACAACTTAACTAAATACAAACATCAAAAGGTTGAAAATGAAATCTTACCTCTTCCATTCTGTAAGATTCAAACACGTACAGGTATCTCCCTGGTCTGCCTACCAGTCTGCAAAGATAGGGAAATGACAAAATACCGTTCAAGTACGGAAATAAACAAAAACTGAGAGAAAAAAACTCCAAACATGGGAGCTTACTGACCTTCCCCTGAAGAAAGCGATGTAGATGATGGGTGTGAAGGCATTTACAAATTTCAGAATGAAGGTCTTGAAAATGAGTCGCTCTTCAAAACTCTTGTCCGTCTTAGGGACCTCTAAAATAAACAGAAATTATGTTCAAATAACAAATAAATCCCATCCCAGCCTGTCAAAAATCCCTGGATCACATGTCTATGTCTTCTTAACTTAAAGCCCCCAAGCAGCACAACTGAAAATGTATATATACTGAAAAATAACGTAATAAGTTATCATTTTATTTGAGAATAGTTAGTTGACTAAATATCACTTAATATAACATTAATGCTATTAATCTGTCCTTTACAGATCACAAGGATTTCAGTTTGAACTAATCTAAATTCTGACTGTATCCATTTTCCTAAATGAGGAAGATTATTAGTAATATGGTAAAATTTAGTGGTGACACATAACTTTCTACCACCCAAAGTTGATGCCAGTGTAAAATATTTCTTTGAAGCTCGCTGATAAATTTAATAGATAATAAATAAATTCATGAAATGAAAGGTGTTAATCCTGACAAAGTAAAGAAAAACATAAAATCCTTCAAAATAAAGCCCATCCTTTCCAACTCTCGGTCAGTAAATGACTTGATCAGTAATCATTACATTAATGTATTTTTCACCAAAAGCTTTTCCTCTCTACTGTTCAGGATCAATTAATTTGATACAATCTTGATCTATTCTTTCAAATAAAAATGTACAAACCATAAACACTTTGTGTCTCTAGCTTTGCCAGAGTACTGAGGACTTAGCTGTTGCTCTGGGCTCCTTTAAGGGTTTCAGTGGAGAGGCCAATTTTAATGTAAAAATAAATGTTCTTTTATAGCTTTTCCAGTCAAACTGACTACTTAACACTTTATGTCGTTCACCATTCACACACCGGTTGCAACTGGGGGCTCTGTTAGGATTTGGCTATAATTACTCACTTTAGCATAGCATGCTATAACATGATCTATGCTAATTACTGATTGTTTTCTTTTCTTTTATAGCTATATTTTGTATTAAAGTCTCTGGCTGTGTCGGCCTTTGACATCACACTTCCTGTGGTTTCCTCTTACCGAGAACAGTCAGCCATCGGGCCACGGCCCCGTACACCTCGTCCAGAATGAGGATGACCACCAGGTTTATGATGGCGGCGGTGGTTTTGACCGTCAGCTGGACGTGGTTCCGGGTCATGGGGCTGGAGCTCATGTGCAGAGCAGCTTTAGTGGAGATCCGGTACAGGATCACACCAAAGACAATGGCAAATGTCACACCAATCTGATGGTCAGAGTTAAAAAAGAATACACACACACACACACACACATATATGTATGTATAGATATATATTTATATATATTCATATAGGATAGGTTGACTGAGGGTCAGTGCATCAATTTCCCAACTTTACAGACAGTGTGAAACAAAAATATCTGCAGAGAATAAAGTGTTTTCTTACCATCAGGAGCATAACCACTATGTTTGTCATATAGGCAGGAAACCGATCTCTGCAAGTCAACTTTTCCACCTAAAACAAAGAAAGGAATGAGCAGACTCAGAAGCAGATTATGGGAGGATTTTCCAGGGGAAGCATTAGTATGTGTCTAATGTAAAATACATGTTAATTTAGTTTGTTTTCCTTTGGTGGAGCAGCTCATAAACTGTTTAAATCTGTACACAAAAAGTTGAAAGGAAGGCTGAGACAGAGACATGGTTGAAATCTGTAGAAATAAACCTTCACCTGGTTTTTCAACAGCAGAGAGGAAAGAGATTATAACAAAATGCTAAAAAAAAAAATTCTACAATATCTAAACTTCCCTATGGGCCTTTGTCTCCTTTTACAGAGCCAAAATCCTTTTTTGTGCATGAACATCTTGAGTGCTGCCATTACCTTGTGCACTTCGGTTTGCTCTTTCTTGACAGATTTCTGCAGAACTCTGAATTCATATTCAGCTCTGGGATGGTCCTGTGTTGGTGGAAAAGGTATAGAATAAAACAGACTAACAATAATTACGAATAAAGAAAAATATGAAAATCCTAAAGTAGAACATTTTATGTTCTCTGTTGTTATACCTGCTCTGCTGTTTTAAACAATGTTAAAAACAAAGATGGGAAAAATGAATCAGTTTGGAGTTATTTACAGAGTCTGTGTGTTTGTCTTTGAATTGAATCCGGGTAGGATTTCTTGTTATTATTATAGGATTTCTTGTTCATGTAGTGACAGGTTTCTGCTGAGTGGATCTTTTCAGTGTTTCTGATGTTCAGTGTGGATGTGTGCAGGAATAAAAAACAAAAAATAATGTACAAGCTATTTGTCTGGTGGCACATACTCGCATTATTATCCTGATTTCTTACCTCCCCCCCCAAAAAAACATTAAGGGTGCAAAGGTCAGAGCGTGAGCAGATTTGTGCACGTGCAGAAGCTGATCTGAGAAAGTGTCTATAAAGTTGTAACAAAAAATAGATGCAAACAAAATATTTAAATGTGCAAGTATATGGTGACATATACAATAATGACCATTTTTGTTTTGTGTTTTTTGTGTGACTTCACATTCAGATCTTGTTTGTGGGAAAATCTGAAGGTTCTACAAGTTTTCACATTTTCTGTTTTTACATTAAATTCAAATTTGGCACTCATGTGCACATCTGGCTGCAGACTGCAGGAAGCCAAGGATGGATATCCAACTCCCCCACATCCAAGTCGGCCATTTTGATTAGGTCACCAATAGGAAGATCCCAGGCAAGAAAATCCTAATTGCTTCATGGCAATATAGACATTAATTTAAAAATAATTAAATAAATCATGCAAACACTGAATTAAACTCTATACATAATATTATGTTAAAATAGTGGATGTTAAATAGGTTTGTACAATAAGTCCAAACAAGTTTAACCAAAAAATATTTATGTCTTACAATTATGAAGGATGGAGGGTTAGGGTTAGGGTTAGAGTCAGGGTTAGGGTTAGGGTCAGGGATATGGTTAGGGTTAGGATTAGGGTTAGGGTTAGGGTTAGGATTAGGGTTAGGGTTAGGGTCAGGGTTAGGATTAGGGTCAGGGTTAGGGTTAGGACATCATTTATCTTCCGATTTCGTATAGACAGTAAAGTTTTGTTTCCACCTCAGAAAGCTGCTAGTCACATGACCTAACCAAAATGGCCGACTTGGATGTGGGAGGAGTTGGATATCCAGCCGAGGCTCCTACAGACTGGTCCCCATGTGTGCGATTCCAGTTCCCGTGTGTGATTTTCAGAAAATATAGACAGATTAGTACAGATATATAGTACAGATTTTTGTGCTGAAAACTTCTCACTGAATTAATTTAGACACAAATGTGTCTCTGGTTGCTTTTGGTTTGGTTTATCTAAAACTGAACCTGCTGTGAACTGTGGAAAAAGACATGACGGAAAAACAAGTGCAGTGGCAGCAGAGAGGTGATTGGCTGAAGAGTGAAGAGAGGGAAGTTTAAAGAATAAAACAAATGGCCTCAAACCTTAAGAGCTTCCTGCAACACACGGAAAAAAAGAGAGACATTAGATCAAAAGAAAAACAACCAATGGGAGCTCGTCTTGAATTCGATGGCAGGAACACATCACAGACTATTGTTGGGACCGCTCCATGTTTCTGTTTAGCATCTGTCCTGGAGATTTTTCCCTTTTGGTTCTTTGTTGAGGGTACCTGGTTGTTAATTCCTCTAGGGCAGTGTTTTTCAACCTTTTTTTGAGCCAAGGTACATTTTTTCATTGAAAAAATCACGAGGTACACCAACCAAAAATGTTAAACAAATCTGTAGCCGCCTATAGTAACACTATAGTTATTCTTATTTTATTCTTATCTTATCTTAAGTGTCTTGAATAGGAATCAAATAAACACAAAAATGTATTATATGTCTCTTTCCCCTCACCCCCAACCGGCCGAGGCAGATGGTTCTGAGCCATGGGCCATGGTTCTGCTCAAGGTTTCTGCCTGTTAAAAGGAAGTTTTTCCTTGCCTGTGTCGCCTAGTGCTTGCTCATGGTGGGAATTGTTGGGTTTCTGTAGTTAACTTCAGAGTAGGGTCTGACCTGCTCTGTTTGGAAAGCGCTGTGAGACAACTGTTGTTGTGATGTGGCGCTATATAAATGAAATTGAATTGAATTTAATTGAATTTTCATCATATTTTATATTTCTTCTTTCAAATTGCTCTTAACATGTCCACTTTATTATACAAATTATATACAAAATCTAGTCATAAGGAATTATTACATGATTACTCCACCAGTCACTAGAACAGCACAGGCACTCAGAAATGGCAAATTATTTGCAGATAATTAATTACTTATCAAAAAATCTTTTTAGACCAATGAGGTGAAATAGGATGATTTTCTACGGCACACCTGACCATCACTAACGGCACACTAGTGTACCGAGGCACAGTGGTTGAAAAACACTGCTCTAGGGAGAGTCGTCTGGTATATATGTCTGGAGACTGTGGTTTTAGCACCCGTAGGAAATGCAACAATTTCCTTAATCCCATCTGTTACGGTCACTGACCTCTAGGGGCTCTCTTTATGAACAAGCTTTTTCTTTGTGTTTCAGTTCAGAATCAGAATCAGAATCAGAAATACTTTAATAATCCCAGAGGGAAATTATTTTTGTTACAGGCTCCATAAGCAAAACAAAGGCATATACATATGTACATGTCTATACATATATACATATATATATACAAATGTATACAGGTGTAATGTGTTGGATCTCGTCGGCCACCCCATAAAGAGCTCCAAACCAGAGGTGTTTAGGCCCTTTATTTCCCTGGGCCTTGATCTGACGTGATCATGTCGGTGAACTGACTTTGTTGAGACTTTGCATAATTTTGCTGTGAGCATTTGTGTGAAGCTTCAAGTGGTTATAATTTTGTTTTTCTTCACAGTGGAAGCTGGTAGGGGTTCTCTGCCATTTCCTTTAACTGTTTTTCTCCTGTTTCTTGGTTAGCCAGGGAGTTCAGGTTTTGTACTTTGTTTTCAGTTCTCTTCTAGAAAGTGTTTTTATTTTATAATTAAAAGGGGGATGTTTTGTTGTTTTGGCCTTGGAGACCCTGAAGCTAAAAGCTTCCCTGCCGTAACACCATCAAGGATGAATCTCCCATTCCTGTTTATCATTAGAATTGTATGACTTGTTCTTTGTGTAATTCTCACTCATCTCCTGAGAAGATACTCCTTTTGATCAATCCACATCGGG